AAAATTTGAATTTTTTAAAAAAATTTTATATATAAATAAAAGGTTATTTAAAAAAATTTTAAGAACTATTAGGCTAATTTTGATATTTTTACTATGCTAGAAGTTTAAAAATGATTTACATTAAAAGCCTAAGAGTGATTTACTTAGTAAGAAAAAATGTTTTAGATAGAAGTGCTTCACTTTTAGGCTTATAGTAAAATTTATATATAAAAACATTTTTGTTCAGCAGATATTTTATAAACTATCTATTAACTTAATATAATTTATATCTTACTTCTAATTTTTAAAGAATAATTTATTTATAGTATAGAAAATTCTATAAAAATAAAGTGTAATTAAAATTTATAATTTTAACTAAAGTTAAAATTAGTTAAATTCTTTAAAATTTTATTAAAAAAAAAAAAAATTTAAAAAAAGAATATAAACAAATTTGTTTGTATTATAATTTAAGAAATAAATATAACTTAATTAGTACAGACTTTATTAATTAATATAACCTAACTCTTAATATTTAGAAAATTATATTTATAAATTACTTTAATAAATTCTTAAACTATCAACTTTTGATATATTAACTGAGTCTATTACAAATTTATATTCTTAGATCAAAAATATTAATAGTATATAAATATAATCTAAATATACTATCATTGCTTTTAACAATAATTAATTTTATTCTGCAAAATCTTATCAACTTAATCAAAGATATTATTTTATCAAACAAAGTTTAATTTAACTTGATATTTAACTTCTACTGTATCTAAATTAACAAATTTATAAAAGCAGTTAAATATTATATTGTGCTTTTTAAATAAAAGTTAGTTATTAACCCATACTCTATCTATAATCTTAGCATTACTATTTTATTTACTCAATTAATATTTTTTACTAAATTATAGTAATTTAAGTAGATTAAATAAGACATCAGAGAGTAGCAACATAGTATAGTTGCTAAGTTGTTACCCCAAATAGCAGGTCTAAAGCTCAAATTCTATTGATAATAATTTTGAAAATTAAGATTTGTTTCAATAAAATTATTTGTGATTTGTTGGATATATCACATGTATTCTTGGTACTACTATCTTAAATAAAAGCTTTCTAACAAAGTTATGTGATATTACAAAACAAAGCTAAGGAATCAGAATAATTAAAACTTATTTGACAAGTTCTAAGCAAGGAGATAATGAAGATCTTTAATAATACTGCAGAAGTTGAAACCTTAGAAACTGAAGACAAAAGAACCAGATGTAATAATACTGAGGCAAAAAAGGTTTACCAATCTGACTATTGGAGTCACACTGAGAAAAAGATCCTATTTTATAAAATTAGAAACTGAAAGAAAAAACCAGAAGCATTTAAAGCCTAAATATTCTAGTTCAACTAGGCTAACTGGTTTGGAAGTTTGGAAGGATCAGTATAAGAATTAGAAAGAAGGTAGACATAGATACTAAGATCAAAACAAACCTTGTAAGAGCAGAGGAACTATGAATTGTGTAGTTTAATAGTTAGCCCTAATCACTAGTATTGGTCTTGGCTATAGCAGGTAGGTTTTCTAATCTAATTCAGAAATGTATGAAACATAAAAGAATTAGGAAGGCAGCTACTATACCACCTGTAGAAACTCATAGACAACCAACTGGCTAATTAAATCAGATAAGTTAATAGAAGGCACTTTAATATAAAAGTACCTAGCTTAAAATAATTAGTAGATATTGACAATTAGGAAGTTTAAATAGATAATCTTTAAGTAGATTGCAGGTATAGCAACTAGTGTAAAACCTTTAGATAGACTACTTAAGGGTAGAGGGTATCACATGTCGATCACCTGATTTGTCTACTAGTAAATTTTTAGGTAGTACAAGATTTTTCTAGGTAGTACAATATAAATAACATATAGATACAATTAATTTGCTATTATAAAATAATCTACCATATGATTACTATGAAAAGTAATTTGTGTACCCTCTACGCTTAAATAAGCAATCTAAAGTTGCATGTGTAGCTTGTTGCATCTTTGTTGTAAATACTATATTTAGAATCTTTTGTAATTTAATTACAAATAAAACATCAATAAAGCTTGATTCTAAAAGACACCATATAAAAAAATAGCTTATCAAAAGTAAAAACTAAAAAATTTGATAATTTTTTAAAAATTAAACTGTTTGATTAATTAGATGTAAAATTTTAAGCCTGATATTTTTTATTTAATAATGAAAGTTTGATCACTTAATAAATTTTTATAATACAATAATTAAAAGCTTTTTTTTTTAAGGTGAGGTTTTGCTTTTATCTTTATTAATATTTTGTATTGAAAATCCACTAGGTGTTTCTCTGGCCAGAGCCAAGTTACAAAAATTTTTACAAAAATGAGACTCAAACTATCAGAAACTATTAATTCTAATTCATCTATAAAATTAAAAACTTTTAACTTATAATTTAAAAATAGATTTACTAAAATTTACTATACAATACACAGTTCTGCAAATCTAGTAATTCTATTTAAAAAGGTTTTTTAATATTGAATAAACTATTTTTAGATTGTTTTGATTTTGTGTAACAAAATAGTTTTTACTAATTTTTTCAAAACCTGTTTTTAATTTTAGAAGCCCAAATATTAATATAGTTTATACAACTTAATTACTTTAGAAATCTAAATAAGATAAGGCTACTTTAATAAATTTAGATCACAAATAACTAACTTCTATAATTTGAGTTAATAAGATCTCTGTCTAAGTCTCTTCTTAGTATTCTATAGATATAAAGTTCAAATAATGTAATTTCTTTATTATGATTTGTAAAAAAGTTTAATTGAATTTAATAATAATAGAGGTATGGTCTCACCTTTGAAGATTGTAGATAAAATTCTACTAAGAATCATTTGGTATTATTCTTCTTTATATATATATTCTATTCTTTTATCTTTGAGAAAACATTATTGCCAATACATGAAAATATTCAAAAAAATCATGAATTGATTAAAAATTATATGATAATACCATGGGATTTATAATAAATAATCTAATTATACCATTTATTAGATTCAATATATACAGTTTTTTTTAAACCTACACTAGAAGAAATGCTAATTGGTGCACTTTCTATACATACAATATTAATAAGGATTCATATTATAATACTCAATTAATAATGATAATTTTCATGTTTAAATAAGCTTTATTATTAAAAGGTTCGTTGTGTTATCTCTATAATAACAATTTGACTGTAAGTTTACACTTACATGCAATCATATTAAGTTATGCTTCCTATGATAATCAGATTACTAATTTTCTTGTATTCTAAAGGTAGAAAGTTGAGGCATAATTCAGTAACGCGTATCATACTTGGGTTGATCACAATAAGGTAATGAGAAGGTTGCATATTTAACACATGGCGGTACGAAATATTGGTTGCATGAAGACGAAAATAATTAAACCAGCCGAAAATATAAAAAATATAGACATGCCGTAATGCCGTAAATCCACCTAATTTAGGCACACATGTATAGGTAAAGCCGTGGTTATTGAAATAAGCATTATATTGCCTCATACGATTGTTTCGCCATTCAACGTACCGAATAGTTCGTGGTTTAAGTATAAGAAAGTTTAATTTGTATATTAAGTGTTAAGTAAGAATAGGCTCAACAAAAGGATACTTACCAGAAGAACCAACCCGACTCACCAAACCTAACCGTCTCTTTCGACTAAGCATATCGTTGGTTCAAGATCGTATTGAATTGGATTTTATAGCAGTTAAGACCACTGTTGTCAAAAAGCCCTGATTTATAATCCGAAGTATGCGATAGTAGTAGCTTATTTGTTGGATATATATCTTTAGAATATGATCTCATTCCGATATTTAAACGATAACGAAAAGTAGATGTACAGTAGATGCGTTATGATATTCATGAGATAAAAAAAGAACTTTTAATGTTTCGTAATTTGGTTTAGTTAGTGCTTTTCTTTATTTTCAATGCATTTTGGAATAAAAAGTTGTGTGAAAACTCTAACCATTATTATTCTGCACGAAATATACCAATTGTTTGATTATTTGATTATTACGTTCTTTATACATATCTCAATCAGATTTAATGTATCCTAGGATTCATCTTGACACAACTCAACTGTTGACATAAATGAAGCTGTTTTTTTTTACCGTATTGTCGCGAAATAACGCGCAGAGGCGTTATTTAGAATAATGGCCCGAATTAAGCTTAATTTAGGCCAAAATTTGTAATTTCACCCCTGCGCGTTATTTCGCGACAATACGGTAACACATTATTTTTAATTATTAATCAAATATATGGAACGAATAATAATACAAATTTTATTTTTTAAAAAAAACAATTTAAACAAATGAACTAAAAATATAACTTTAATAATCATCAGACCTATCTTCATAACCATAATACATACAAGCAACACCAAGATTTGTAATTTCCTTGACAACGGCTTTAATCCTTTCCTCCTCCGAATCATTTATATAGAAATCCCTATAATAAAATGTAATTATTTTTAAATTTTTACAAGATTTAATGAATTCTCTAAGACTTGTATAGTGATCCACCAATGGTGAAGAAGTTCCGATGATAAGCTTTTCTAATTTAATCAAATGTTTGCAATTTTTTAAAAATTTGTCAAAGCTTTCTGGAGCTAAATAAAACTTTTTTAATTCTAAACATTTTAAACTAGTTGGTAAATTTCGACCCAATTCGTATGAAAAACTTGTAGTATAATATGATATCATAGTCAAATGTAGGAGAGAAGATTGACTAAGAAATGGTAACAAAAATTCATATCCATCTTTGACGTTAACACGTAAATATTCAAGGTTTAAACAATGATTTATGAGTATATTTGATAGTTCTTGTGTTTGAATCCGATCCAAATGCAATTTTTCTAAAGTTGAACCCCACGTCTCAACCAAAAAGTTTACAATATCTGAATCAAAGCTTCCACTTAAAAGTTTAAGTTCTCTCAAATTTTCTAATGGATAATTTAATAATGAAGTGCAATGTTCCAATGTCATCCCTCTACAATTTATAAATCTTAACGTTCTCAAATTTTTACACTGTGCGAGTACTTTTATATCAGAAGGCGATATAGTTGAAAAATCTACATTGGAGAATTCAAGATGTTCTAAGAAAAGTTTTTGCTCTAAGGACGTAATTAATTTTCCTGTGTTTCCCCTAAAACGAAGATTTCTTAATTTCTTTTGAGTTTTGATTATGTTTGAACAAGATGTAATTAATTCTTCACTCGGATTACTGGATATGAATGATAAATAGATTTTTCTAATATTGGTGCATATCGTAGATATAGCCTTTAAAAATTCTGTGATTGAAGCGTTAAAATTACTATGTGCATAAAAACTACATTCTAATCTAACTAATTGAGATAATCCAGGTTTATAATTTGCAAACATTGCTGTTGGCGGAAACAATGCAAGTTCATTATCATCAGGAATCACTAAT